CAACCAACTTTTTGAGGTCGAGCATGACACATCTAGCATGGGAATTGGAGTAAGTACTTAATCAAGGTAGTCACTCAATCACTTTTTTAGTGAAAAGCTAAATGATACATGAAAAAATTGTTCAAGCTACCATAAGAAACTTTATGTCATTATTCGAGCCCTGAAGAACTGAAGTCATTATCTACTGACGAATGAATTCATCTTGTTGACAGTTCATGAAGCTTTAAAATTCTTAAACAATCAGAGCAAACTAAAAGAGTAAAATGCCACATGGGTAGAATTGCTAGATTCATTTCGTTTCATGCTCAAACACAAAGTTAGGAATCAGAACTATGTCACAGACACACTGAGCTGTCATCACTTACTGATTAAATCCATGCAGACTCACATTGTAGGCTTTGGGATTAGAAAATACTTATACAACATAGGTGAAGACTTCCAAGTAATTTGGGAACATGGTTGGAAGAAATCTAAAGGGTGTACTACCAAACAGACAATAACTTGTTCCACCAAAAGAAATTATGCATTCTATGATAGTTACTGCAAAAGGCCATCGTCCAAGAAAATCATAATGGCAAATTGGTCAACAATTTTGGTAGGGATAATACTCTAGCACTCGTTATAGAACACTTTTTTGTCCCTAACAGATGAGAGATGCAGAGTGACATGTCTGAAAGTGTAGGATGTTTCATATCGCCAAAACACACTGGTAGAATACAAAATCGTACAATCCTTTACCGGTACCTGAGGCACCATGGGTTGAAGTCAGCATGGCACAAAAAAAGCAAGGACTCCATGATGATAGTCGTCAATTATTTTTCAAAGATGGCACATTTCATGGCCTCCCATTGGACATTGATTCATCTCACATCAATGACTTGTATTGTGAGAGATCATGAAACATCGTGGCATTCCCAAGACCATCACATATGACTAGTAATTCAAATTATTGAGCCACTAATGGAGGAACCTCTGGGAAAAATTAGGCAATAAACTTAAATTCAGTTCTGTGGCACACCCTCAAGCACATGATTGATCGAAGTAGTATTTATGAGTTTTTGGATTCTTTTGCAATGCTTCATAGGAAAAAGAATCAAGCAATGGAGTCTTATACTAGCGCTAGCCGACATGGGTCAAACTACAGGACGCACTCCATTTAAACTTTTGTACGGGTGCAACCCACTCACACCCCTTGAGTTGGTCCCACTTCTACCTACATTAGACATTAATGAGGATGTTATCGAGCGTGTTCACCAAATTCAACAACTCCACGAGAAAGTTGGGAGGACGATTGCAAAACAAAACCACAAATATCAAACACAAGAAAACATGTCCAGAAAAAAGATAATATTTCAAGAAGGCAACCTCTTGTGGATACAGATAAATAAGGAGTAATTTCATATAGAATCATATGACAAACTCAATCTTCGAGCCAACGGAACATTCTGCATCCTTATAGAGCTGAATAACAACAACTACAAAATTGACCTACCCGGGGACTCAAAATTTTCAAGTATATTCAGTGTTGCAGACATGACAGCATACTTTGAGGACCACAAAGTTATGATGAATGACTTCAAAGCTTCCCCAACCCTAGGAGATTGACATGAGGTTTTTTGGGGCTGAGTGGGGGCAGGAGACCGATCTAGCCTCACTACTGGACCAGACCGGTTATCGACTTAGGGCGGAAGTTCCACCCCTCCTTTCTCTCACTCGTTGTGATCTTCTCCTGATCATCTGCAACTATTTTTTCTAGCCTTTTCCATCCTCCCCTACTCTTCCTCAATCCTTTTCATTTTCATCCCCCATCCTTTTCAAGATCTTGCATATGATAGTCTCTAGTCTTCCATTATTTATACATGGTGTTTTGCCTAAGTTGATTTTCTTTTTATTTCTGATTTTAGGTGTGCCTCTAAGGCATTTCCCTTCCGAGGGTTTTATCAGATGGTGAGAGCGATGCTTTGATAATACCTAGCCCGAGATAGTAACTACCTCCTTTCAACCTTGCAGTCCTCTACCTTCATGTAGTTCGTCTGCCATCTCTAACACCTTCCAGTCAACGGCTGTCAATGCGGACCCCATCCCGCAAGATGCTGACATTACTGGCCTCCTTCCAATTCCCTTCCAGTAGCCCACCTGCCTTCTCCAGTGCCTTTTAGCAACCTTTCAACCCCTCTCAATGGATATCAAGCCTCTCGAGCTCTTTCTAGTAGGTGCCAGCACTTCTGCCCCCTCTAGTTCCCTTCCAAAAATTTGCCAACCCTTTTCAGCATCTTTCAGCTACCTATCAGAACTCTCCCAACAACCACCAATCACTCTGGACTCCCTCTAGCAGACTGCCAACACTGTTGTTCCATTATCATGCCTTGTTGGATCTATCACCTTCCTTAGAGTGGACCATTCTTGTCTTTTTGTTATCCATTTTATTATTCTTGTAGTATTTATTGATGTTTACTGTTTTATATGCTTGTGTTGTTTAGTCAAAAAATCTTTATTGTAATATATTGGTTGCAACAATAAAATGTGTGTCATTCGAGTCATGGTTTGAGTTAACTTCAGTATCATTATATGATTCCAAAGATGAATATTTAAACTTCTCCAATGGCTTGGCATTGAAGATCTGCCTAGAGAATGTATTCTCTAGCTAATAGAAAACTGTCATTTGACTAAGCCCTGACCTGATCAATTTTGTATAGCTAGCATTATCTTCAAACTTGAAGTCTTCCACCCTTTCTATCCTCTAAGCTTCTCTACAGTAATAGGGTTTAGGTTATTCTCAATGGTTCTGCTCTTGGGGAGTTTGTGATCTTCCCTTGAGTAGTGTACAAGTTAATTCCGACATTGATCAGCTAGTTCATCTCACAGTGCTCGATTTCATCATTATATGAATTCCCTTACATACTCTATGTTCATGGTACCTCTTAAATGAGTTCCTTCTCCATGGTTTGATCCTTTTTTTATTGATGGCATGATTTAACGATCACTGCATTTTTTAAGGTGTTAAATTCAAATATGTCCTATGTATCAAACCCAAGGTATAGAGATTTTGATAGACGAGAGGAACGGAGAGAGTGAAGATGATACATAATGCACAATAACACAAGTTATTAGAAAGTAAATTCAGTAGTCCGTTTTTGAAGAAATAACTCTCTATTTATAACTTTCAGAGGTATCTTATGTAAAATTTCATGTATGTCATTGTTTTAATAGGGTTGTTACAAATTATTCTTATCTTCTCACATTTTTAACATAGCTCCCATTCATATTCATAACTGGCATTGGTATTGTTTTGTATGCATAATTGCTTGAAGAGGACTTAATAACCTATTGATTTTGTTATTCGGTTTGTGAAAACCTTTAATTGGTCTGCATATATTCGCTCGACTGTGAGTTCATTGATCACCCCTTTCAATGGAATCCTTAGTAGAGGCTCTCCTGTCATTAGGGTGAACTTGGACCATCGGACAGATGGTGCATCATCATAATCTAACGAGCAGCTCTCCTTGGGCCTTCTCAGAAGATTAGAAAGGTTTTCTGTGCGGTTCTCTTGGCCATCTTTGTGAATAATTTCAGAATCAATTGAGGAAGCTGGTTGCGAACAGTTCTCCCTCTAAGTAGGTGTAATCTATTCTTTCACTCAATTATTGTTTTACTCAGTCACCTTGGTTCCAATTGAAGTAAAGGACTCTTAGCATGTTTGTCTTTGGACTAGTCCAATACAGCCCTTTAGTGTTCATAAGCAAGCCCCATTGAATTTCCTGGAGATTCGAGTGATTATATTTTAATGTAAAAATAATTTATAATAATTAATAAGAGCACAAAGCTTATATTACAAAGTCTAAAAATTAAAACATTTTCCCTTGTTTTCTTAATCATAAAATGCTACATAGCCCAATTTTTCATTTTGCAGCCCAAATAATAGTTTCAATGCATTCAAAACATTTTTAGATTTAGCATGGGAAATGATAGTACTAACATGAGCAAAAGGCATACAAAAGATTAGCATAGCCAAACTCATATTAATATTATTTAAATTTTTTATAAAGTCTACAAATTTAACTTAATAAAATTTAAAATTTAAAATTTTATAAGTTGTAAGCATTTGATTGAGCATTGAAAATTATTAGAAAATTAAGTTTGGCCCAATCGATTTAATATAAACAAATAAAATTTTTAGATTACCAGTAAAACTTGGTTTAAAAGTTTTAGCCAGACTAAATTGCATTTCTGATTCACAATCGAACTGAGTGACTCAATCTGATTTTTTAAAATTTTTGATAAAACATCAGCGATTGGTAATAATTTATCAAATTTTGGTTGATATTAAATGACAAATGATAGAAAATTTAGAAAGGTTATAACTAGCATTCATACTATTTAACAAATAATATTAGGAGATTTTAACATTGCTGAATGACGCCAAAAGGCAAAGATAAAGGGACTATAGGATTAGAGACTGAATGACATGTTGTGACAAAGATGTTGGATAGCTCAACAATTATTGCATGAATGCAAATGATTTTGGTTGGCAATCAAGTTAGCAATAACAAATAGAGCTTCAAAATTCTGTAAACAATTATCTGATAAAAACGCTCCAGCGAAAATAAGATCTATTTACAAGAGCATTGTTTACTAACTTTTACAGGATTATAGGAAAAATCAACAATATTATACAACCTGAAATACTTCTTAATCAATTAATGATTTTAAGATATTAAATATATTTTCATAATTTTAACTTTCATCCATGTTATGTGCTTAAAATAATTTTTTAGCTCAAATCCACATTCATAGTACCATTTAGTTCATTATATCAATTATAAGCTTATCAAAAAAAAAAAAAAAAAGAAAGTTGCCCTAAAAAAAATAATGCTATGATATCCAAATTTAATGTCAACATTTATACTTTAACCAAATAAAATACTTAAGATGTAAAGACTAAAATAGACACAAGCCAAAAAAATGTTAGAAAAAAAAAAAGAAAAAAAAACAGGTGAAAACTCTTTCAAGGCGTAATTACATGATATTTAAAACAATACAATTTACAATAAAACGCTGCGCTTATGTACCATAGAAAGATGTAAGTGCAAAGCCGAAAAAGAAGAAATCAAATATATGCATTTTGAACCGTAAATATATTGGAAGAAGCAGCAAGCCCATACAAAAAAGAGTGAAATACTTGAATGGTCTCATTTATCTATACTTGACATTCTCTTGGTATGCACTAGCTTGTGCACATCAAACGCCTCTCCTTGTCCATCATTAAGTGCCCGTCTTTCCAAAGAACACTGAGTTAGTTGCTTCAATAACTTCTCGAGACGAGAGCACGCACAATCTTCCATGCTTTTTGTGCCGGGGCTAGTGGTCAAAACCATTGCATTAACAGAATCGGCGACGAACTCTCGTTGACCTGGATCAAGAAGATGACCAACGCAAGAGTTCGAAGGATCCTCGTATGCCAGTAATGCAATCACATCCTACCAACAATAGGACAGATTATTGTTGGCAAATCATTTCCATGAATGGTAAACATGTACACGCCCCAAGAAATACAAATAAAAATAAAAATTCTGAAAAAACATTCTCCCTTCATGTAATAATGCTTTCTCATCGAGAAAGTTATCGGGAAGGTGTAAAACAGGTGTGTGTATTCGTACGAATACAAAGCAAATGATGATAAGCCAATTGATTGCGTTATTTTTTTAAAATTAGCTAATGTGGATATAATAAATTCCTTTAGGATAGGTTAATATCATGCAGCAGCTTTCTTATAGCTAATATATATTTCAATAAATCTAGTTGTTAAAAACTGTTTTATATAGCAACCATACTTCGAGAAATATAGTCGTAGAAAGCTATTTTTGACTACTGACATTTTTTAAATACAAGAAAGCAATAAGAAAATGGATGCGTTAAAAGTTTAGAAAGCAAAGCAGTAAATAAATTGACCAAATAAAACCCTTCAACAACTAGGAGTTGAGCTGACCCCTTAGTAATTGTAGCCATTAGCTTTAATAGAAACATCCCTCGAGCTAGCAAAGCAAACGAGTGAACGATAAATTAGGTGCCAAAAATACCTAAAAAATTTCATGTCACATGTCCAACCTCCTATTGTTAAGCTGTTATAACATAGATTCACAGCATATCATTGTTGTACAATATTTCATTGAATCAGTTTAAGAACCAGTCAAATTTTGATTATTACCTCAAGCAGTTCATCTAATGGCTTTATTGTAAAAAACTTGTTCAATTCTGCACGAGCATAGTTTACAGACTCCATCAGTTGTCCTGCCTACAAACAAGAGATTCATTGAAGAATGAATAACACTATTCGCAAATGAAATAGACATGCAGTGTAATAAAAATTTTTCTTGCGGATTACTATTTCATAAATTTTGCATCAACGTGAAGCCTATTTGATTGCAGAGCAAACCTATTCGCATTCAAAGAGCCCTCCCCACTGTCCGATGTCAAATTTGCCATGGTGCCAGAATCGTTAGTAAAAATTAAAACAAAATTAACAAATTCCAAAAAGTTTACATTTACTACTTACAATTTGTAGTTTTGGGTTGCCACAAAAAAAAAAAAAAAAAACACAATTATCACTGAACTATATTGCAAGCTTGTGAATGTGTTCTCTCCTTGCATCCGAAAACTACAGTTTTAACTGGGCCTGTATGGATGCTTAACCACGTAGGAGGCCCATCCAGACAATATGCCTATAAAAATGAAAAATGAGAGAGTCAAAGTAATCAGAAAATGACTTGTTACTGAGCCTTCAAACGCATATTTGGAAAAATAGTGGTTACAAGCTGCATTCCTTGAGAACAAAGCTGATCCCTAACATTAGCTAAACACATCTCCGAGCTGGATGGGCAGACAGCCCAGCATTGGAACAACAGAAAACCAAGATGGAGCTAACATACAGTTAAAAAAATTGATACAGATGAAATTAAGACCTTGTATTTACTCTCTTTTGTGGGGAAAGCTTCAGGTTTTGAGAAACCTTTGCCCCATCAATTTTCCTTCTTAATTAGCAATGCTTTC